CTGCCGCAGCCCGGGCCTCCGCCTCCGCCGCCGCCGCCGCTGCTGCCGGAGCGCGGCAAAACCTCGCCCCGCTCGCACCGCAGCGACGGCGAGTTCTCACCCCGCTCCCACTACAGTGACTCGGACGAGGCCAGCTAGGGGGCCGGGCCAGCGCGGGGCTGCCGCGGGGGAGATCCCTGCCCTGCCTTGCCCTGCGCGCCGGGGCCGCGGGCCACACACACGAGTCTTCCGAAGCGCCGAGGCCGCTCGCCCGCGCGTAGCCCCTGCCCTGGGCAGGACGAACCCCGCGGGGGGCGCCTGCTGGCAAACCCGGCGCGAAGCACTTTATCGGCGGCTCCGAGAGCAAAGCGACCGCACTGCCAAGGGGAGCGGAGCCGCGGCTGCAGGACCCTGGCCTCTGCGCCCCCCCACGAACATGTTGTCGTGTCAAACGTGGCTGTCCTTTTTTATTATCATTCATTATTATTGTTGTTGTTGTTGTTGTTATTATTATTATTATTTTGCTTTGATGAAATTAGGCCTTTATTTATGACGGAGTGTTTGAGACTCTTCCTGCTTTGATCTTTAAAAAACAAAGACAAAACCCGTTTCTGCCCCGAGTATCCCTGATTTCCCTTTTAGCTGCGTCCGCTGCCATTGTTCAGTGTAACTGGGGGGAGCAAATAAATGTGCGGGAACGATCGCTTGGGCTGTGCGTTTCTCCGGGGCCCGCCGGACGGGGGGAGCCCAAGAGGGGACAGGTGACACGCGGCATCGGGCCGGACACACGGCCCCGGCCTCCCCTTCTCCGCCCCCAGCACACGCCGGACCCAAGTGAGCTGCGCCACGTGGAGCCGGGCCGATTGTCCCCTCCCCGCGCCACGTGCGCCCGGCGGGAGCTGCCCCTGCCCTGTCCCGCGGTGCCCGAGGAAGGGCTGCGGGGCGGCGCTCCCCGCTCTCCCCTGGGCATCACTTGCACCCCCGTGGCGGGTCCACCCGGCCCAGGCTCGGAGGGAGGCCGGCGGCAGCGAGCAGGGCGCTCCACGGGCGCAGCCTCCCAGCGGGGCCAGCCCTGGGCGGAGGCAAACGGGCCAGGGAGACGCGCTTGCCACACACACACACACACCCTGGCCCGCGGCTGCGATCAGCCCCGCGCTGTCAGGGCTCAGTGGTGCACGGCGGCGCCAGTTCCTCCCCACGCCCCAGCCCGGGCAGTGGGGGAAGCCTCCTGGCCCGCAGTAGGTGGCGGGGGCTCTCCCGCCCCGCTGCGCTGCTCCATAGCCCGCCGCTCCCGGCAGGTGAACGAGGCAATCAGTTAAAAGCTGCTCGGAGGTGCGCCCGGAGCCGGCCGCCTCCGCAAGAATAAGGCAGGTGCCAGTGTCACTTTCCAGTCGAGAAACAATGCACCTGCCCCCTCGATAACCTCTTGCCCTGCCGCAGATAAGAATCGGGGATCTTCGGGTTGCTCCAGCTAATGGAGCCACCGCTTCCACATCAGCACTGCCGGGGGTGAGGGGTATTTACCCACTCCGCAGGGTGAAAAGTTCAGCAGCACGGACCTTTCACTTTTTTTTACGAGGAAAAAAAAGCAAATAAACCCTGCAGCTGGGCTTCTAGTTGGGTATTTTTTCGTACGGTCTAGGAATACCAAGGTTATCCCGTGGCTGACAGGCAGCACGTATGTGCACACCAGCATCGAAAATTGCTTTCGGGTTATTCTGCTCCGCTTCATACAAGCACAGAAAATGAGGGCTGGGAGGGACGTCGGGAGGGCAGCTCTGCTCACAGCGGGACCGTCCCCAAGTAGCTTATCCCTGCCAACCTTGCCCTGCTCACAGCAGCACCAGCCCCAACCAGCTCATCCCAGCCAAGGCTTTGTCTAGCCCCGTCTTCAAAACCTCCAGGGATGGAGCTGCCTCAGCTTCTCCGGGTGACTTGTTCCAGTGCTTCACCACCCTCCTAGCCACAAAGGTTTTTCCTAACATCTCCTGAAACTTGCCTTGCTGCAACTTGAATTTCAATCTGGTAGGGAAAGTGTCAGAGACCACTTAAAAAAAAGGAAAAGAAAAAAACCCAGAGCCTGAAGATCTGGGGACATTTGTTTGTGAGAAACTCCTGTGACTTGGGTGCATCATATACCCGCAGAAGAGAAGAGGCGCTTCCAACTTTTTTGAGCCTGAACTGCATACAATGAAGTGCCAAACAGGAGATTTCAAGTCTCCCATGAAATATGAACTTTCATTTCTACCTAGGAGAATTTTAACAATCTTTTCTCCTATGCCTGAAAAAAGGTGCTTGTGCCCGAAAGCTTGCAAATAAAACTTTTTTTCTGCAAACATCTAGTTGGTTTAATAAAATATCACCTCTCCCATGATGCAACCTCTGGGTTTAGCGGTGTTATTTCTATGAGCAGAGCAAAGCAAAACAGGGTCACAGATTCACAGTTTAGGACTGGAAGGGACATCTCCATCCAGTCCCCCTGCTCTGGGCAGGAAACACTGCCCAATTTATGTCCGTTTAACGTTTTATAGCTTTTTTTTTTTTAATTGGAAATGGAAAGCTTGAGCTGTGCATCACCGATTTGCATTTCGCGGGGGGCGGGGGTTGGGATGGACTGAGAATAATCTATGGTTTGGATCTCCAAAAGAAAAACCCCCAGAACCCAGGAGGGTGCGCCCCCCATGAGTGCGAAGTGATTGAAAAGCACAGACACAAAATCATCCACGCTCCTCGGACCTACTCTGCTCAGCGACAGATGAGCGCGCTGCACGGTACAGTTGGCTCTCGCAGCCCGTCTCTCTTCCCTCCCCCTCCTCTTGTTTTTTTTTTTAAGACACTTCTTTGAAAGCGAGCCCCGGTCCCATTTCCATGTTAAGGTTTGCATAACAAACGCTTGGCAGCCCCCACTCTGACACGCCATTAACAAGCTGTAACGTATAGCTGCAGGTTGCTATAATCTCATTAATATTTTGGAAACTTGAATATTGAGTATTTCAGGCTGCTCATTCCCCATATGCCAGAGCGCTCCCGCTATGCTGGCTGCTTCCTTTCTCTCCATTATGAGCCCGGAGCCCTTCTACCTTCCAGAGTCGGATCCAAGTATCCAAGATACTCGCGCAGGAATCAACTATGTGTTGCAAGCTAAGCGTGCTTAATATCTCCCAAACAAACAAAGAGGCCACGTTTCTTTAAGTCGCGGAGATGGATCAATCGCTTTGGGCAACGGCGTGCTCTGGGCGGGCTCCCGCCACCCCGGAGCAGCCTCGGGGGGACTTTCGGGAGCCTTTCGGCCCGGCGTTAAGATCTGCCTGCCGCTGTGTGCCTGCGGAGGGGCTCTGCCGCTGTGCCCCTCCGGGCGGCTGCTGCATTTCGGCCCGAGGGGGGCCCGGGACGAGGGCCGGGCCGGGCCGGGCCACGGGCTGGCAATTAGCGCGGGTGGGGCGGG